TGTCTGATCGATGAGATTTTGCCAAGGTTAAATTTAATTTCGAGATAAAGAAATAATAAAAGTAAAACTACATTTTAAACTATCAAATTTTCATTATCGAATATGATAACGTAAGAAAGGGAAAAATCAATGAAGTTTGGCACCGTAACGAGAGAAATGTTTTTTTCTTTTTCACTTTTCTTTTCTATTTTCAATCGATCGGACTAACGATAGTAGATAATTCGAATTATCTTTCTGATTTCTTTGCTCTGATTTAATAATTAGAGGTGGTAAGTTTTAAAAGAATACTTAAAATGACTTTGCTTGCATTACAATAGTAATGAATGAGCGTTTTAATGTATTTCATGTTTTATCGATACGATAAAATAATATAATTATTAATGTAATTAAAACGATATTTTTAATACTTATAGAATTGTAGTTAAAGACGTATACTGTAAAATAATTGTAGAAATATGATATAAACATACCAAAATTATTGAATAAAACGTTAAATGCTATTATCAAAAAAAAAAAAAAAAAAAAAAAAAAAAAATTTAATATTAATTAATCCGATATGAACAAAAAAAAAATATATTGAGATTTTTTTGTATTTATATAAGAAGTCGAATTAAGAAACATGAAATTATTGTTATAATTGAATTATCAAGCATGATTGGCAGAGAAATGAATATTGTCATGTAAAAATAGTAAAAACTCAATATACATTATCAATTGGAAAGAACTAAGAAGTAAAGATTCACTTGCGATGTGTGGGTGAATGCGCCTCAATTATATTCAACTGCGACTGTTTTACACACAATCAAGTACGAATCGCTTGATTATTACCGTTTCATTCTTCATTATGGCACAATACGCAACTCAAGCGATTGTCAAATTAAAAAAATTTCCATTGTTTTAGTCATCGATGTGCTACGACCAGAAACTACAGGCGAAGAAATTTTCTCTGGAGTTATGAAAATTCCTTTGACACTATCTTACAACTACGATTCCATCTACTACCGATTCTTTTATCTAGTTTATCTAGTATGCTATCTACACTGACTGCTGCTCGTTTTAGATTTTCCAAAGGAATCATTCGATTGGCTCCCGTAAACACGTACATTCACTAATTACGACCACTTAACAAATGACACATAAAGCCGATTATTTATCCCACAACCATTCATATTACAACTAAAGTAATCCGTATCTACGAATACTAATTAAAAATTACATACAAATTTTCAACATCCACATTGCTGATATATGAATTTAAACGCGTTCGAAAAATTCTTTCATTATTAACAGGTAAATATATTCATTGGAGATTTATTAATAGCATATCTTTATAAATGAGACAGGCAATTGAAGGGAGAAGCAAACAATTGGCCAACCGCTCAAATGATTCTCATTATTATCACTTGAAAATACGCCAACGCCAATACAATAATGCATCGAAAATTCGTAGAATAATCCTTCCTATTCAAGGAATATGATAGTGATAAATGAGTATCCAAGGGCCGCAACATACTGGCTTTAAGCATATGCAGGCTCCTCCTTCACTTGGTTACGGCCGCAAATTTCTAAAGAACAATATAAAAATAAGGAGAGTAGAAAAGTTTGGTCTTTATCACCGTAATTAGCATCAATCGTGCCGCGATCCCATTCGCCATCCTCGATGATCCTTCCCTGTTTCTAATAGCCGCGTTAAGCATTCGTTCGCATCGATTCCTTACGCGCGTATCATTGAAGTGCAAAAAAGGGGAAAAATAACGATGATGAATTCGCAAAAGAAACTTTAAAAGGGCCTTCGTTACGCGGCACTTTATGAGTTTTTAAAATCTTAAGTGGCTGGAATTTTTGTTTAATTTCAACTAGAGGCCATGTTAAAATGTTTTTTCAATAAATTAGACTTTCGGAAGGGACTCGTCAGCGATTTACTTGAAAGTTATTTGCTTAAATAAGCAGCCTGGTAAATTCAGGATGGGAACCAGTGCTTCAAATTGTTTCTGACAAAAAACAATTAAGCAAATTAATTTGCGGTGATTTTTACTCGTGCAAGAAGAGAGAATGCGGAAGATTAAATTATCCGAGACCGATTTAGAAGAAAGTATTCACCTGGGGGAAAATAATCGAATCTCATCGTCTGTCAGCGTGAAAATTGCTTCATTCAACGTAACATCTTTGGGATTATAATTTCAAGAATATAACAAACTTATTCCTTTACATTAATCCTTATAGTAATGAAATAAATTTTAAAGAAGATCTTTACGATTCTTCGAAGCATTCTATTTCTCATGAGAGATATTGAATGCAATTGTCGATTTACTTTCTGAATTAGGAGATTTTAACGACTTAAGTCATTTATAATAATTTCTTAATTATATATATACATACAATAATATCATTCTCGGAGTCAAATCTAAGATTTAAATTTTTATATCATATCTATAAATTTCTTGTTATACTCTTTAAGAAGAAGAAAAAAACTGTTGCTCATTAGGACAGGTTACCGAAAAAGATTCTAATGTAAGTTTTTCATCTTAAATCGTATTAAAGTAAAATAGTGAAATTCTTATTTTATTAATATTATGCAAATTATGATATTTTCTTAAATGACAATTTAACTATGATTGACAAACAATGTTTTTAATTACTTTAATTGGCAACTACATTAGTATTAAGAATAATAAAATAGTATATTTTTCTTTACAATTCAAGTACACCAATAGAGACGAGTGGTACTGAAATTTTATTAAATTTATGCGTGCGTGCGTATTTTTATAAAAAAAAAACTTATTATAATATTGCTAATAATGAAATCATCAAAATTGTCATAATTTTCGTAAATAATTATTATCAGAATTGTATGAATAGTGAAAACACGTTTGTTGATAAATACGTTTATAATGTTTCATCCACTAATAAGGCTTTTATTTAAAATTTTTTTATTTAAAATTAATCCATTTAAAAAATATAACATATATAGCACCTATAAATAAAGTCACATTTGAAAAATCTTTTTTGTTCGATGAAAGAAAACATAAGAAGAAAATATATATATTTAAAATCATTTGATTATATTCTTTTGTTCTAATTTTTTTCTCGTGTCAATGCACATTATTAAACTTATTTAGAATTCCGATTGAATGCAATTTCATCATACAAGATTTTTTTCATATGTTTTCTCATTTATTTCATAGGAGTTGTTTTAAAATAATAATCCTGTAATTACATTGATTTGTTTCGTTTGTTTATTTTGTTTATTGTTTTTTTCTTTCGTTTGTTTATAATAGAAACATGTGAGTATAATATTAATTTTTTAAGTTATAAATCAGAAAAAAAAAAATAATATTATAAGTTAAATATAATTTACAATAATATTTGACATCGTTAAAGTGAAATGATAAATCAGTATGCGTAGGAACATTTATATTTAAAGAGAGGAGATGTCAGTTACGATTTTTCGATACATTTAATACGAAATATGTATATGAAATTTGTTGTACTTGTCACGAAAATTTAATTATTTTATAAAAAAAAATTGCTGAACTTGTTTCATTATACAATAAATATTTGTAGTATAAATAATGAATATCGCAATTGTGTATTTATGCGTTATATTGTTTCAATGCAACTTTCATAATGTTCTATTGTACCTTTTATAACAACGTTTAGACGTGCAAAAATGCAATTCATAATAAAAACAAGTGACGAGTGGCATGTGAAGTGCGATTAAAATTTAACAAATAGTTTAATGATAGTTGATTAATAAATTTCGTAAGTTTTATAAGATGCGCAAAAAAAAAAAAAAAATAAATAAGAAGAGGAAAAAAAAAGAAAAAGACGAATCTCCAGTTGCACGCTAACCATAATTTCATATTGCTCGTAAATAAATAAATAAATAATTTTATTTCATAAACTAGCACCGACGTTCATTCGTATATATATAAATAGCAATAACATTATAATCGGTAACAATCAATACAAGTCGTAAAATATTAGAAGTGAGCGGCTTCGAAGAATCCGATTTTTAGACAACGGTATCGCAAGTTCAAATAACGATGACTGATTGTTTTCAAGCTGTGCAATTTCCAAGTAAAACACGATCAAATGATAAAATTAATTACTGAATACGAATCTCTAATGTCAATGCTTAGAGAATATAAATATAGTGTTGCGGGAAATATAATTTATACCATTTAAAAACCCCGGAGTATAATTAAATTAATAAGGTGCGATTGCCTGGTGAAAGAGCAGAATCTCTCGGCAGAATTTCAAGCAAAAGGAAAAGTAATTTCGTTCGGTCACGATATTATGGAATCAAATTTCATTATAATCGCCTAAATCTGCCGTTTGTGAGCATTTGTAGCGCGTAATAATTTCAGTGGAGAATAATGCTTTATTCGCCATAGCGTGCGAATTAATTGCGACGATTTCCAGCGTCACCGCTTATCTTCGCGTAGGTATTGCAAACAAACTCATCACTAAAAGCTCCCGCATCCTCCTTATTTCCAAAGACTACATAATTATTCCACGATAGTAATGTAAAGTACTCGCGCGGCTAAAGTCGTATTGTTTTATTGAAATCAGTCGGCCGCGGGATGAAAATTCTCTAAGCAACAATTATCGTTAAAACTATTTCTTTTCGAGGCGGCGATTCGCTATAAAAGCCATTACGCGCGCGCGTTTGCGAAACCTGTTATTTTCAATGATATCTTATAAAAATTAAAAGAGCTATCTTTAAGCGATCGATCGAACGAATATCTAACGACTATTTAATATTCTTGGCGTCGTTAAATCAGCCTCGGCCGATCGTGCAGCCGAAGTTGAAGTTCGTCTTTATTTCTACGGCTCGCGAAAGGTGTTGTAGCTGCCACCCTTCCTCCTCCACCCCACCCAACCCTAGCCCCATTGCCCAACGACAATTCTATTCCAATTACAATGCATTGTCTCGGTGGGAGGGGGGGGGGAGGTAAGCGATCAACGCATTATAATATCTGTGCAATAACACTCACCCTTGGAGGTGGCCGGCAGGACTCGCCCTCGTCTATCTAGTTGCGACCGCGGCGTCTCCTGCCAACGTCGTACGTCTCTCTCACCACGGCTTCACACACCAGCACAAAACGGTGAACGCACGCACCCGCAAATTCGTATTTTCGCTCCAAGCACGTGCTAAATTTAAAAAAACGTATTACGCAGCACAGGTATACCCGATTAAATTGAAGTCGCGTTTGCCCGTCGGCATTATTAGTTATTTTCTCTTATTTCGCGGGCTGTCGGTGTACAGTCGATCGGGAGGTTGTTACACGTTGTGTATATAATTGCGTGAATAATGCGAGCGTCTCTTTTCTCTCTCTCTCTCTCTCTCTCTCTCTCTCTCTCTCTCTCCTTGTTTCCT